TAATTATATTTTTTTAATTCAACAATAATGGGCTATTTTAATTTAGTATTTAATATTATATTTTCTGTTGTTGTTTTTAGTTAAACATGTGCCAAGCATTTTTCATATCTTTTACTTTAATTTCAAAAAATAATTTTATTTAATTTAAGTAAAATACATTGATTTCAGATTCATTATTCATTTGTATCTCTTGCCATTTTATATTATGTCTTTTTTTTATTATTTTCACTAAAATTTATATTATTTCACTTTTCGTCTTCTTATTACTTTTTCACTATTTCTTTTCATTCTTCTCTATTTCTCTTCATTATTCTCTATCTCTCTTCATTATTCTCTATCTCTCTTCATTCATCACTATTTCTCTTCATTCTTCTCTATTTCTCTTCATTCCTCTCTATTTCTCTTTATTCTTCTCTATTTCTCTTCATTTTTCTATATAATAATAATAAGAAAATATAGATATAGGTAATATAGAAATTATCACTATTTTTTTCCTTCTATTTTCTCATTATGTCTTCTGTTTCGGGTTCTTTGTAGATATTTAGTTTCTTATATATGTTCATTTTTTACTTTGGTAGTCTCCCATTTAAATCATATAATAGTTTAGCATACAGAGGATTACGAAAGATGTACACATCGTCCATATTCTGAGAAGATGATCACTAGGAAAAATCATTGAACATAAGGAAGAAGAAAATGGTTGTAAATTATATTATCCCTGAAAATGTTTTCTATGCTAACTTGCACAAGCTAAAAAACTTTTTATAATTCTTAAGATAAAGACTACAAAGATAATCTACTGGTTGTTCTATTAGTTGTTCCTAAGAATTCATGCAATCTGTTAATTTCTGTTGGTCCGGTCGTATGAATAAAGTTAAAGCACTTACTTCTTTAGTTGATCACTTGCTTCATCTTCAATTTATAAATTGTCTGTCCTTAATCCATATGTTTTTTAAAGTCTTTTATTATAGTTTTAACGGAACTTAATCCCCTTCTTCGATTTGATTGAGGTAAATAATTTATGTAAGGTGTTTAACTTCGAAATGCATTAATAAATTTATATCTTGCGATAAAAAATCTATTAATAAGATTATGAGCAATATGTGTACTACTGAACCTGATAAAGAGGAAGAAGAGAGCGTTCATCATGTGCTGCATCACTGTCCCGCTCTCATTATCTCAAGATTCAATACTGTAAATAGACTATCTTATATGTGCACTACTGAACCTGATAAAGATAAAAAAGACACCGTTCATCATTTGTTGTATCATTGGCCCGCTGTCGATTATCTCAAGATTCAATACTACAAATAGATTACCTTAATTTATTACCGCCTTTAGGAAAAAACTGTTAAAAAATTGTATATGAAAGATTAAGAATTTTAATGAAACAACTTTTTATTGTCTAAATTTAGATTTATATGCATATAATGGTTATAACTCCTAAAAGCAGGCTTCATAGAACAGTTATAAAGTATGAATACATCACTAAGGTTCTAACCGTCCGATGTCCATGTGGCTGGTGCATATTTACTTTCTTCCCAAGGACGTTGTGGTGTTCAAGATAAAAAAAAAACATCCTGATACTTAAATGAGTTGCCTAAAATTTTGGATATCATTAAATTTTAATAGAAAAATAAATAATAGTACCAAAATTGTTAGAATTAGAAAATTTAGATTTTAATCAAGTGAATTTTTGAGCCGGACGATTTTTTGTTTCGACGATTTAAATAGTTTGATCAATGCCCTAGTCAAGAAACAGAGAATGCATGATATGTGAAATCCAGATAATCGCCAGCTTATGAGCTGATTTGTTCTTACATTAACATACGGTACGGCGTCCCATTCATTTTTACTAAAACAGAGCTAAGGTTTTTCGCATGTTATATGACGATAACTACTAACGACTATTCTACTATTTAAATATCTTTACTAGGAAGCAAATGAGCACTGTGGTCACCTATGTGACTATTCGACTTTGATCTGAAGTAAGAGTACAATATTAGAATCAGAAGTTCTTCTCAACGTTCAGATGTTGAAATTTCTAATATGAATATTAAAAAAATTCCCAACGGAATATCTTTGTTTGGAAGAAATGATATACTACTTTATCACTGTTAGACTTTGATCTGAGTTAAGAGGATTATATTGTGATTAGACTTCCCTTACAATATCTGATACTAAAAAATTCTTCAGAGAATATCTTTGCTTGAAAGAAATGATTTCTCCAGCCACATTACTCTTTGACTTTAACCTGAGCTAAGAGTATACTATTGTGATCAGGACTTCCTTACAATGTCTGATATTAAAAAATCCTTAACAGAATATTTTTGCTTGAAAAAAATGACATAGTACTTTGTCACTGTTCGATTTTGATCTGAGCTATATTGATCTGAGCTAAAAGGATGATATTGGGGTCAGTTTAATCTGAGCAAAGAGTATAATATTGTGTTGAGGACTTTCTTTCAACGTCTGATATTAAAAAATCCTTAACAGTATTCTGTTCAGTGTTCTTTGCTTACAGGGAATGACTTCTGTAGCTCCGTTTTTTGTGACTGTTCGATTTTGAGCAGTGCTAAAAGGACAATATTGTGATCAAGAGTTTCTATTCACGTCTGATATTAGAAAATTCTGAACAAGTTAGTTTTTTGTCTTCTGCTAGTTGAGTGTTTACTCTTCAGTTAGAGTCGGTTAGCTGTATAGAAGATTTATTTAGATATTCGAAGTGAATGCCAGTATCCCGTTTATATCGAATCTTATTTTTTTTTTGTATAAAAAAGTTATTAGTCAGCAGTTATCCTGCCATTGTGCTTAACTTTCAAATTATGTATAATTTTTTTTATTTAACTATTTGAAGGGTGCATTGGCCATTTATTAAGAGCATCCTCCGAAATATAATCAAAATAAATATATTCGTATTCCCTAAATGTTCCCATTGAGTTACTGAGCCGTTGCACAGTATATTATTAAATTTATTTCTATGTTATATGTGAATCGATCTACATTGATTATTTCATTTCCAAGAAATCAATGCATTTTTAACTTAAACATATTACAATTTTATTTTTTTTTACTTTTTTTCATTTCTAGAATTTACACACTCTTAAAGCGTATACACCGCAATTAGATAAATGTTCCAATAATTCATTGAAATTTATACGCTCGTACGTGTATACTTTTTAGGGCCGAAATTCCTTTTTAATTTGCTCTCGGATAGATAAGAATGAAAATACAAAATACTAAAATGAGAAGAAAAAAGGGAAGAAAAATCAAAATCAATGTTTAATTTGAAAATAGTGAAGTCATACAAGGCTAAAAAAATACTCCATACAACAATAATAAAAGAAATTCCTTTTAGAAAGTGAAAAACAGCTGAAAAAACGCACACACTGCTCTAGGATTTTTCCCATAGAAAATGTTGAACCGACATGTCATCTGAGGACGGCCAGCTAACCGCCGGTGAACGACCAAATACCAAAGTAACTTAGTGGCTGACAAGCTGCTCTTGTATTCCAACAATCAGTGCTCATGCATTTGATGTTATTTACAACATGATTACTTTTTCTTGCTCATTAAACAGGATCAGAAGAAGAAGAAGAATCGGGATCAGTATAGTGAAATTACTAATGTGTAAAATATGAACAAGAAAAGGGTATGGGTTAAGCAAGTTTGCAATTTATGGCAGCTTTACTGTATTGCTGCCATATTCTATGTTGATCCTTCTTTCACTATGGAGTAAGATACTCATACTCGTGCATGAGCATCTTCGGTTTGCCTGCTGGCTGACTAGCCTCTTTTGACAACGTTTTAATGAGGCTGCGATTTACTGACAAAAAGGGGTTAAATAAAAATTACCTTAAAAAAAACTATGCAAAAAAAAATACTACATAAATAATGAAAATCTTTGAAATCTTTAAAATCCGTAACGTACAACTTGCTGCTGGTCCTTACACACGGTACTTGATCTCTAAGCTGGGAATTGCAAAACTCATCCAAGATTTCTGCCGTCTGCAGTGAATTCCGCTTGCTTTTTTTGCGCTACATTTGCGGCAATCAATTCACAACGCTTTCAAGGCACAAGCGGTTGTCAATGTTGTTTGGAATTTATTTTCCCAACCGAAATTATAAAAAAATCAAACTATAATTTTCGCAGTTAAAGGAAATGCGTTGGGAAATTCGTTAGGAAGGAAAAAACTAATAATTGCAATCCAAGCTGCTGCTAAAGAAACTTCAAGATCATGTCATATTTAACATTGATTGCATATCTAATTTTGAAGAAGGATATGCAACACAAGGAAGAAAGGTGCTCTTCCTTGTCAAGCCTTACTGTAATTTTCTTCAGCCTTTGCATAAAGAGTTATGCAAATTTTGATAACTATGCAAATATGTAAAACGTGGAAAATTCGTTTATGGCTTAATATTTTTTCCCTTTTCTCAACTGCGCGAAAATCAATTTTGATTTAGTCTTGCTTCATTTCCCGGATGTTTAAATAATGAGTTGACGCACCCATGCTTTATTTCAATAATAGACTTTAATGATTGTTCTGTTCTATTGTCTATAAATTAGTATTTATGAGCGAGCGAACGCATTTTTGCACAGTATCTCAAGTATCAATACCAGCAGAGTAGTTGTCTACCAATCAATAACACCGACGGCGGCACCCTTATAATCAACTATTTTCTGCAATCTACTCCTATCTACTTTCTTTCTGATTTACTTTCTTTGTGGTACTCGTATGTATGTGAAATTTCATTAATACTTGTACTTTTGTTGTTGTGAATATGAGATAAATGCTCAATTGGTTTTAAATTTCTTCAATATTCTATTGTTATTAAATTTTAACTACATACACTCATATATGTAGAGGCCTCGTGCATTTGCAATATTCTTTATAGATATATTTTGTATACGTATGAATCTATATATAAATATATTGTTCTAAAACAATTTACTGTACATTCATCTTTCTCTATTGTTCTTTTACCCTTTTCATATATAGTCGCAGTCGTAGTAACACCAGCAACAGTCAGAGTAATGACTCCAGTAGTAAACCAGGCGCCATTACCAATTTGGAGTATTATACATCATCCTCATCTGTATCACCATTGCTTAGTGGTATACCTTTAAATAAATTGCCATCATCTACATTATCATCATCGAAATCGATCAGCAACTTTACAATTAATAGTTTAATGAATTCATCTGATAAAGTGAAAAAATCATACGGCAGTGATAAATGTAGAAAGTGTAAGAAACATAGTAGTTCAACGACGACGTCTAACAAGTATTTACGTGGTCTGAATATGAAGCGAAAACGAAAGGCTGTGGATAGTAAGGTAGGTGGCATACATTTTTCAAACAAAATTTGATATATCAAAGACACACTAAAAAGTAATTTATATTAATTTTATATTTATCAAACTAACCTTAATAGATTTCATCATAGATTTTATCTCGTATTTAATTAAAAGTACAAAAAAAAATTAGCTTTGACTTAGCCGACTTTCGTAAGAAGTTATATATGAGGGAGTCGAAAGTAAACAGAATTCTAAAAAAAGAGATATCAAGTATTGATAATTCAACCTTTAGGTACAACACTCAGTAATTAATACAATAGCCGTAATTTTTTCTTTCAGAGTAGCAAAAATATGCTCGCAACTTACGAAAGAAAGCATGTGAAGCAACAACAATGCTCTCTTAATATTCAGAGTTAGGTTTTACTCGCAAAAAATTTGAAGTCTCCAGTTTTAGTGCAGCCAAATTCAAAAATCAGTTTATTGAAAAATGTTCACTGGAAATATGTTGTAAAATTTCAGTCATCGTAATAATAAATTAGTATACTAATAAATTCAAATACATAAATAAATAAATTAATTTAAATATAATATGTAAGATAAAAATGCTTATCATTGCCCTTCTAATATTCATTTTATTTTCTTTTATTTAAATTAATTAATTTTTAATGTTTTCAATTTTTATATTTTATATTTTACACAACACAACAAAAAACATATGTCAAAAAAACCATTTAATACATTTTTAAAGTGATGCCAATTTGCTTCAACCAGACTTAATGCTGTTTTTTTTACAACTCTGTTAGAAAAAATTACGGCTATTGTCGAAATTTCATAATATTTGAACGAACGTAAAGGAAGTTAAGTGTTTGCATCATCTGTATCAATAAAATTTTACCAAAACCTTTTAATTGATGATTGGACTATATTTTGAAGATTGTGTTTACCCCATGATAGAGTACCATAACAGTACTCTGTCATGGTTAAGAAATGGTTGTGAGAATATAACTGATAGGCCATATGTTGGCCAATCGAAATCCGTGATCAAAACTGAGCATAGATTCCTTATACTTCATATCACTGCAGTTAAAACTATTTATATTAATGATATTAAAAATTATTGGTTGTTTCCATTGGCATAAGCTGATTTATAGATTTAAAATAGCTTCTTTGTTTACATTTTACATATAAAACATATGGCAAATATTTAAAATTTTGTTAATTTTCCTTGTGGGATTGTATTCAACATTTTCCCCCTTAAATCAGTTGATTTATTTATAATGAGCTCATTTATATAAAAGCTAACTGTGTGGTAAGTTGCCCTCATTAGTGGCCTTAATGAGCAAAACTACCTAAATGAGACAAGTGAAAACATGGTATTAGAAATCAACAGTATAAGAAATAGGAATTTGCGATCTAAATTACAAGATTTATTTATCACATTTTATTCGAAATTTGAGTTAACCAAGAATTATATAGATGTACTATTTATTACGTACAGTTGATTGACGATCAAAAATTGTTCTCTTGAATCGTTATTTGTGACATGTATTATCATGAAGCAAAATAATAATAATAGTTATAGTAATAATAATTAGAATGATGTAAATTGACTAAGAATAATATATAAAAAAAATATATGTTTAAATATAACAAAAAACATGTTCTATATAGATGTACATAAGTTAAAATCCTTTAATACCTTCTTTACCTTAATATTTTTTCGACTAAATGCAAAGACTGTCGTGATTATGATAAGTCGTTAACAAAAATAGTGCTCATCCGCATATTAAACTTAGTCGCTACCTGTCTGTTAATATCTGTTATCTCCTCCAAGTCAGTACAATAACTTTAAAATAATCCTAAAGCAGTCAAGGCTGTATTTATAAATTTTAACGTTGGTTTAGTTCCTCCGATAAGTACAGCTTAAAAAATTTATAAGAAAAGTACATGGGCATAGCGCTCGTTATTCCAAATGTACAGTCTATTTAATGTATCTGTAGTAACATAAGATATAATAAGATGCTTTTTGTTGTTTTTACCTAAAATATGTTGGTTCTTATTATTTAGATTTAAAAACCAATTTTTATATCTCTTGTCGCATATTAAACCATCTTCTTTAGTTACAGAACCTCTCTTTAAAGAGTGATATAGGCTTTATTAAAAGTACGAAATAGTTTTTTATCTTTCGAGTTAAAAAACTCCAAAACTTTTAGAAGGCTAAAAAAAAACATCGAGAGACGTTTTAAATATGTATATGTATGTCACACACTTCTAAATTAATTATATATGGATATGTCACTGGACATAGTCCATACGTGCTTTACTTTTTTAGATCGTAATAATTATTATTACGATTCATGTTAATATATATTACTTATTGTCATTCATACCTAACAGATTTTAATAAAATAAATGGATTATAAAACAAAAAAAAAAGTTTTTCGAGTTTTATAGGTTAATACAATGATCTATATAAATCTAAATGGATTCATTGAACCGCTACTATAATTTAATCCTTATACCTTCATACCTGACAGATTGTAATAAAATAAATGGATTATAAAAAAAAAATCTTTTGAGTTTTATAGGTTAATACAATAGGCCAATAGACGTAAATGTATTTATTGAACCGCTATTATAATTTAATTCATTATATAAAGTAGGATTTAGAAAGTTTTATAGAACAACATAATATATAAATAGACGTAAATGGATTCATTGAAAGGTCATTTTAACTTACTCTATTATATTAAAAAGGCCTTAGAGAGGTTTATTGAACAACACTATAGATAAACTGACGTAAGTAGATTCATTGGAGCACCATTTGAACTTAATTTATTATATAAAAAAGGATTTAGAGAAATTTTTTGGGCAACACAATAAGTTAATAGCGGTAAATAGATTCATTGAAGCGCATTATAATTTAATCCATGATATAAAATAGTATTTAGAGATTTTTATATATTGATCTGACCCAATGCAAAACAGTGTAAGGGATAAGAATAAACTTGAATAGACTTTTTTACATAATTTTATTTATGTTTAATAATAAAGATTTTAAAAATTCTATAATATTATCAACTTTACCGAAAAGCAACCATCGGAGACATCCATTTTCTCTATTTCGGTGCCATTCAAAATTATGTTCAGGATATTTTGGGAGACAAACTAAATCATTTTGTTACTTTTAAAGTAAAAAAAGGTGAGCATTTTCGAAGCTTCGAAATATGAAAACTTTCCTTTAAAACATATACAATTTTCTTGTAATATCACAATGATTATAATTCAAATGCAGATACATATCCCTTTCAAGGATAACGAACGTAAAAAACAATAACAGAAAACAAAAGGAAAACCTTAGAAAAAGTTGAAAAAGATATGACAAACTCATTTGCATAAAATTATTCAACGATTTAAAAAATTTTTAACGGAAATCTATCCAATGACTTACAGAGAAGATAGTGACAAATAAATAACATAAAGACACTCTGGCAGGAAGAAGAAGAACCACCAAAAAGGACTCTGACATACATTTGAGCTTGTTTAACGTTTAGTATATGCAAAAATATGCATATATATTATGATAAATGGATGTACCTTAAGGAACGTGCGTGTATACAATATGCAGTTGCTGCTCCTTCCATATTGCATATATGTCCTTATGCAAAGTAGCTGTCTGACTGCCTGCCTGGTTGCCACCTATGTTACTATTATATTTATGTGTTTTTTATTTACTATCGTACAACTTTCTTGCTGTTTTGTTTTTAGTTCCCAATGTAAGGTATTTCATAATTTTTCTTTTTTTTTTCTTTTTTTTTCATTCTGCAATACACAATGGATACGTTTTGTTCCCGTAAAATAGTTATAGTTTTCAGACCAAATGTCGTCTCTATGAATATTTAATTAGTCAATGATATGTTTATAGAAAAGGAAAAGGTAAATGTGCGTGCTTAAGTGTTTGTAGTTGTCCCATTAAAAGACTTTCCTCATTAAAGGATGCATCCTTTTTCTCTTCACTGTCATTCGGTTTCTTTTTATTAGAATCTTTATGCAATTTACATTAATTTGCATCATCATTCATTTTAACTTCTGTTGATAACTGGTATAACCACGTTGAGGTGTGATGGAAGCTATTAATTTAGCTTTAGTTTTCTCTCTCAATAAAACTTGAAAATCACAGATACATGTGCATGTATATACCTTATATATCGCTAATAGGTATATAAGTTATATATTTTAACTTGTACATATTATGGAATAACCCACTTTTAATCAAACTAAAAATAGAAATTTGCGAGAACGCCTGAAATGTTAATAATTGCATAATTATATGGGTAAGTGCTTTTCAAACTACCTGTTCCAATTAGTTTTACATCGCGTTTACACTGACTAGATTGTGGCAAGAATTGTATGAATATAGCAAATGGGATTTATCCGAATTTTGTCTGCTTAAAAAAAATTTATATGTTTTGTGTAAAAAAAGAAGTGTATGCAAAAATCTTGCCAGTGTAGACGCAGAGTTTGAGTTTGAAAAAGAACAATTAACCGATTTAAGTATAACTAAATCTTAATAGACAATTTCTAATAATAATAAATATTATCTAATTGAATTAATGCGGCTGTTATGAGAAGATTTACAAATGCAAATTATTTTTAATTTTTCTACTCTGTTTTTTCCCAACTCATGGACGGCGGCGACTTAACATTTTAGGTGCATCCTTTCTTGAGGATCCAATTACAAGATCTCCCACTAAACAGCATTCTTAACTTTACCAAATGTTCGAGGTGGTTTTAAATCTTGAGTTTCCTCTATATACGGTAACACGATGGTTTAATAGATCTAAATGGATCCACCTAGGGATTGCCGGTATAACCTAATCTTACCTAAATTGTTTTTTTTGTTTTTTTTAATTTTTAATCAAGTCAACCAAATTAAATATTGTGTTATTCATATTGCTGTTACGTACTTATATATATTACTCGACTATTATTACTATATAATTTAATATATATAATGATAATATATAATATATAATATA